TTGTGAACTGTGTATGAGAGGGATCTAGGTTGTACGCTCCTTATGAGAATCTAGTGCCTGATGACCTGTCACCGTCTTCCATCACCCCCATATGGGACCATCTAGTTGCAGGGAAACAAGCTCAGGGCTCCCAATGGTTCTACATTATGGTGAGTTGTTGAATTGTTTCATGGTATATTATAATGCGATAACAATAGAAATAAAGTGCACAATAAATGTAATGTGCTTGAATCATCCTGACACCATTGCCCCACCCCAATCCATGGCAAAAGTGTCTTCCACTAAAGCAGTCCCTCGTGCCAACAAGGCGGGGGACCGCTGCTATAGTTCTGCTATCTACATTAGCGGGAGCGTCTTCTTGATAGGATGTGACAGCTGGTAACATAAGAGCCTGATGGTGCAAATCAGAAATTTTTAAATACATAAAGAAGCTGACTCACAGGATATTCATTATGAAACATTTACTCCATTAATAAAAATCTTGAACACTCCTAATTATAAAGGCAGAAGTTGAGGCAATTTAATTTTTTGTTGACATGTCAAAAGCAGTCAGCAGTGGTCAGTGAAACATCCATATTTCTAAGTGTCGCATAAAATAAATACCTCTAACAAAAGAGAGGGGCAATGATGCATAACTACCGTAAAAAGGCGTGATCGCAGCTCTTTTCTTTTTCTATTCTTTACAGCCTATGTTCTTTCTTACTATTTCATCTTCAAGATCACCTTTTAATAAGTCACTGTCACTCCATAAACACTTGACCCATCAGAATCAAGTTGGACATATCCCAACTTGATCATACCTCACTGCACAGTAGCTTCACCTTCAGAGTTTGCTATGTCAGGGAGTGCTGTCACCATGTATCCAGCAACACTTCGTCTCCCTCCTCTGACCCTCCTCCTGCACAATCCATTGGTCACCAACTCCTGATGATCCTACCTCCCACATAGCTTTCAAATCCATCCACTTCTCTCCATCCCTACTGCTTCTTCCTAGACTTACCTGGATGCAAAGGCAAAGCCCAACCGGATCCTCCTTGTCTACGCCTACTCCTTCTAGGTCACTTTTCTAAATAAAGGATATAAGGATATTTCTATTTCAGGCCAAAAATAAATTAACAGGTACTACATATATCCTTTTACCCGTAAAACTGAAAGACTAAATATATATATATATATATATATAAAACAAGAGTTCACTCCTGCCAAAAGTCTCCTGAAACTGGTAAACAACATCAATAAAGTTTCAGGATACAAAAATTAGTGCAGAAAAATCAGTAGCATTTCTATACACCAATAAGATCCAAGCTGAGAACCAAATCAGTAGCTACAAAAAATCCTCCACAAGAACCTAAGAATGCATGTAACCACAGAGGTGAAAGACCTCTATAACTGCAAACCACTGCTGAAAGAATCATAGATGGCACAAACAAACGGGAAAACATTCTATGCACATGGATTGGAAGAAACAATATCCTTAAAATGGCCATACTGCCCGAAGCAATCTACAGATTTAATACTATTTCTATCAAACTACCAATACTGTTTTTTACAGAGCTAGAAAAAAACCATTCTAAAAGTCATATGGAATCAAAAAAGATTCCAAATGGTCAAAGCAATTCTAAGCAAAAAGAACAGTTGGAGGCATCACATCCCCCGACTTCATGGTATACTATAAGGCTATAGTAACTAAAACAGCATGGTTTAAAACATGGTACAAAAACAGACACACAGACCAACGGAAGAGAATAGAGAACCTAGAAATAAAGCCACACATCTACAGCCATCTGATCTTTGACAAAGTCGACAAAAATAAGCAATGGGAAAAGGACTTCCTATTCAATATATGGTGCTGGGATAGCTGCCTAGCCATATGCAGAAGAATGAGATTGGGCCTCCACCCTTCACTATATCTGAAATTAACTTCAGATGGATTAAAGATTTAAATGTAAGACTTCGAACTCTAGGAACCCTAAAAGAAACCCAGGAAACATCATTCTAGACATTGGTCTTGGGAAAGAATTTACGACTAAGTCCTCAAAAGTAATTGCAACCAACACAAAAACTGACAAATGGGACCTAATTAGACTAATTAAAGAGCTTCTGCACCGCAAAAGAAACTATCAACAGGGTAAACAGATAATCTACAGAAGGGGGGAACATATTCACAAACTATGCATCTGACAAAGGTCTAATATCCCTTATCTTTCAGAAACTTAAACAATTAAGTTTGCTATGCCAGGAAGTAATGTCAGTATGACACAGCAGCGCATGTCAACACCCCTTTCTCCCTCCCCTGCCCCTCCTCCGGCACAATCCTTTGGTCACCAACTACTGATGATCCTACCTCCCAAATGTCTCTCAAATCTACCCACTTCTCTCCATCCCTACTGCTCCTTCTTAGTCTTACCCAGAAGCAAATGCATTAATTAAAAATGGGAGTATTTGTCTTTTGCTTGTTCAATTGTTTAAGTTTCTTAAAGATTCTGGATATTAGACCTTTGTGGGATGCATGGTTTGTGAATTTTTTCCCCTATTCTGTAGGTTGTCTCTTTACCCTGTCAACAGTTTCTCCGTGATAGACTGGATAAATAAATTGTGAAACAGATACACCATGGAATACTATGCAGCCATAAAAAGGAATGAGATCATGTTCTTTGCAGGGACATGGATGGAGCTGGAAGCCATTATCTTCAGCAAACTAATGCACAAACAGAAAACCAAACACTATGTGTTCTCACTTATAAGTGAGAGCTGAGCAATGAGGATTCATGGACACAGGGAGGGGAACAACACACACTGGGGCCTTTTGGTGGGTGGGGCGAAGGAGAGCATTAGGAAAAACAGCTAATGCATGCTCGGCTTATTACCTAGATGATAGGTTGAAAGGTGCAGCAAACTACTGTGGACACATTTACCTGTGTAACAAACCTACACATCCTGCACATGGACCCAGAACGTAAAATAAAAATTAAACTAAATTAAACAAAAAACAACAAAATACAGAGGCAAGATATGAACAGACCTTCTCAAAAGAAGACATACAAGCAGCCAACACATGTATGAAAAAATGCTCACTACCACTAATTGTCAAAGAAATGATAATCAAAACCACAATGGGATACCATCTCACACTGGTCAGGATGATTATTATTAAAAGTCAAATAAAACAATGGATGCAGGCAAGAAAAGGGAATGCTTACACACTGCTAACGGGAATGTAAATTAGTTCAGCCGCTGTGGAAAGCAGTTTGGAGATTTCTCAAAAAACTTAAAACAGAAGGCCGGACGCAGTGGTCATGCCTGTAATCCCAGCTATTTGGGAGGCCGAGGCAGGAGAATCGCTTGAATCCAGGAGGCAGAGTTTTCTGGGAGTGGAGATTATGCCATTGCACTCCAGCCTGGGCAACAGAGCAAGATTCTGTCTCAAAAAGAAAAAGAAAGAACTTAGAAATACTGGTTGACCCAGCAATCCCATTACTGGGTATGTGTCTAAAATAAAATAAAATAAATCTTTCTATCAAAAAGAAACCTGCACTCACATATTCACTATAGTACTATTCATAATAGCAAAGACATGGCATCAATCTAGGTGCTCATCAATCTAAGTGTTCATCAATGGTAGACTGGATAAAGAAAATGTGGGATATGTACACCATGGAATACTATGCAGCCATAAAAAGGAACAAAATCATGTTTGTTTGTTTTTTTTTTTTTGAAACAGAGTTTTGTTCTTGTCCCCTAAGCTGGAGCATACAGCTCGTGATGTCTGCTCACTGCAACCGCCGCTTCCCGGGTTCAAGTGATTCTCATGCCTTACCTTCTGAGTTGTTGGGATTACAGGCACCCACGACCAGGCCCTGCAAACTTTTTTGCATTTTTAATATAGGGACAGGGTTTCACCATGTTGGCCAGGCTGGTTTCAAACTCCTGACCTCAAGTGATCCGCTCGTCTCAGCCTCCCAAAGTGCTAGGATTACAGGCATCAACCACTGTGCCCAGACTGAAATCATGTTCAACATGAATTCAGCAGCAACATGGATGCAGCTGGAGATCATTATCCTAAACAAACTAATACAGGAAAAGAAAACCACGTGTTCTCACTTACAAGTGGTAGCTAAACATTGGGTATTCATGGACATAAAAATGGCAACAATAGACACTGAGAACTACTAGAGGGGAGGGGGCAAGTGTTGAAAAACTACCTATTTGGTATATTCTCAGTACCTGGGTGATGAGATCATTTGTGCTCCAAATCTCCGCATCATGTAATATATCCAGATAACAAACCTGCACATGTGCTCACTGAATCTAAAATAAATTGGAAAAAAATGTCCACAAGATATTGGATATCAGCCCACTGGGTCATGAAGAGCAAGGATAACTGAGGCAAGGAAACAAACGAGGTGAGTCCCGTGATTGACTTAGGCTATCACATGGACAGTTTCCAGGCCATCATGAAGGGAGAAGAAGCCACATGGGGTCTAGGAGTCTCTCTGAATAAGGAAAGGAGAGCAGGGAGATCAAGGTAGTTAGATTTCCCGAGGTGGAGTACCTGAGAGGAGAGAGCTGCAAAGAGAAAACTCAGGAGGTCTGCTAGGTGTCCTCGGCAGGTATTTAGCTGGATACTGGCCAGTGCATGTCAGTGAGGAAGCTACTCATGCTTGAGAAATAACCACTCAAAGGAATTAGTGGAAAACATACCCAAAGCTCAATCAGGATCTATAATAACGCCTATTTTCTCAGCAGTCAGAGTGGGAAACCTCATAATTTATGGTTTATCAAGTAGGATACTCAGAAGGGTTTTGCCTCAGTCAGGGGGAAAATTGTCCCTGAACTTCATGCTCCACTGGTTCTGTCTAACAATGCTTAAGAGCAAGATCGAAAAGAATCAAACTATTTTAAAGTAATTTGATCATATACCAGCAAAAAACAAAATGGACAGGAAGACAAAAATATTTAGCAGCCAGCAGCGTAAGAATTGCAGTGTCTGGTACTTTGGAAATTACCAGCTGGGTGCGGTGGCTCATGTCTGTAATCCCAGCACTTTGGGAGGCCAAGGTGGTAGGCTCATGAGGTCAGGAGATCGAGACCATCCTGGCTAACACCATGAAACCCCACTTCTACTAAAAATACAAAAAATTAGCCAGGCTTGGTGGCACACACCTGTGGTCCCAGCTACTTGGGAGGCTGAGGCAGGAGAATTGCTTGTACCTGGGGGCAGAGGTTGTGGTGAGCCGAGATTGCACCACTACACTCCAGCCTAGGCTACAGAGTGAGACTTCATCTCAAAAAATAAATAAATAAAATAAACAACAAAAAAAGAAAATTACCAGGCATGCAAAAAAAAAAAAAAAAAGTAAGGATGGACATCAATTAATCAAATCTGACTCACAATTGACATGGTTGATAAAATTAATAGATAAGGACATTAAAATAGTTATTATAAAACAACTAGAGGAAAGATTAAATGTGCTAAGTAGAGACACAGAAAATATATAAAAAGAAAGTCAAATTTCTAGAGACGAAGCCTATGATGCCTGAGATGGAAAATCTCTGCGGTTAATAGCAGATTAGATGTTGCAGAGGAAAAGATTAGTGAGCTTGAAGACATAGCAATACAAACGATTCACAAGGAAACAAAAAGGAAACAAACGGAATAAAAAGGTGAGTATCAGTAAGCTATGAAGCAACTTTAAGGAGCCTAATATATGCGTAATTGGGGTAGGATAGCAAAGCGGTTTGAAGAAATAATGACTAAAATATTTCCAAAATTTATGAAATCTGAAACCAACAGATCTAGAAAGCTTACATCCAAGACAAGAATCAGGGAGAAAACTGCGTCACAACACATCATAATCAAATAGTTTAAAACCAGCAATACAGAGAATATTGAAAACACCCAGAGGCAAAGGACACATTATATACAGTGGAACAAAAATAAGTCATTTTCTCCTCAGAATTAAGGCAAGTGAGAAAATTCTGAAAGACAGAAAGCTGTCAACTTGGATTCTTTATCAGGAAAAACATCATCTTTCAAAGACAAAGACAAAATAAAGTCTTAGACAAACAAAGCTGAAAAAATGTATTGATAACACACCTGCACTACAAGAACCTTAAAGAAAGTGCTTCCAGCAGAAGAAAATGATTCCAGATGGAAACTATATCCACACAGAGTGACAGGGAGCCTACGAAATGGTAACTATGTAGATAATTTAAGAGATTTTTCTCATTTAAATCTCTTGAAAAGATAATTAATTGCTTAAAGCAATGACAATGCATTGTGGACTATATATTATTTGTACCACATATGAAATAAAATATATGGCAAAAATAGCAGAAGGTTGGAAATGGAAGCATACCATTGTAAGATCCTTGTACTGTATATGAAATTATATTAACATAGTAACATTCAAAGGTAGATTCTAATAAGGAAAGATGTACAATATAAACCCCAAAAGAATAACTAAAACAATGTCACCCAGAGTTATAGCTAATAAGAAAACACCATAATCAATGAAATCATTGATTAATCCAGGGATTTCTGATCCAGGTGAAATGGTGTAGAGGGTAGACTCATTTCTCCCTGTTCAGTACAACTATAAACCCCGGAAATGATGTAAGAGGCAACTGAAGGAGAACTATACATGATGGAAAGAGGAAGGCAGACTGGGGATGGGATGCCCCTGGAGCAGAGAAAAACAGCAGCAGCGTGTCTGACATTCCCTCCATCCAACACAAGAAAGGGACTCAGGCCTGGCATTTTCTGATTCCCGGCCTATCCACTAAAGGGGGTGCAGATCAGCTCATTTCTTCCTTGGATTGAACAAAGCCCTGCCGTTAATTTGTGCAGCCGCAATGGAAAGAAAAACAAACAAACTCTACCAGCAATGACAAGTTCCGCAGCCCCGGCAAGGGAGGCTGATTGAGGGCCCTGCTAAGAGTAAGTGTCCAGGTGACGTGCTCTCCTTCCCCACTAGGGCTGAGATACTCATCCCCAAGCCAAGCACCAGCAGGCCCTGGAAAGGGAGACCCACTGCCGTAAGCCCCTGGCCCAGAAAACATTCTAATTTCTTGCCAGGCTTGCGACTCCCATCCTCCACCCAGAGACACTGAGTGTCCAGGCAACACTAGCAAGGGGAATCCCTCAACTCTAAGGACCTGATCCAGGAAGCCTGTTTGTCCCCTTGGGTCAGAGACTTCCTTTCTCCTCTTAGGAAGCACGAGACAGCCTGGCTTAGGGAAACTGTCCTCCACCACCACAAGCAGTACCAGCAGGGACGAGTGGGAGCCCTGGTGGCAGCGGAGAAAGCAAGCAGTCAAAACAGCTCTGAAAATGAAATTGTCATTAGAACCACAGCCCACAAAATTAGGCCAGAACCGCTGGGCGAAACCTAAATAGGCTGACTGTCTGCTGTCATCACAGATCTAAATGGGGCCCAGAATCTCCTAATATAAAATCCCAAATGTCCAGGATATAATAAAATGTCACCTGCACATCAAGAACTAAGATTTTAAAGCAGCCATCATGAAAATGATTCAACGAAGTATTACTAAGTCTCATGAAAGGAATGAAAAGAATAGTAAACCTCAGCAAAGACCTAAGTGATAAAAAAGAACCAAATAGAAATTACAGAACTAAAAAAAGGCAATGAGAAACAAAAAACTTGCTAGGTGAGTCCCTCCTCTGAACCTCTTACTGAGTTTTGTCCATTCTCTTCCTTCCACACCTTACTCCAGTGTTACTGGCCCCCTTATCGTCTCTTCAACCGGAATTTAAATCTCACAAGGCAGGTATCTGTTTTACCCACTGTTGTATTCCCAGTGTCTACCGCCATGCCTGACAAATACGTCTTAAATAACTGAATGAATTAAAAAAGATCTCCCAACCCCAAAAAGGCAGAGAAAAGAGAAAAAGGGAACAGGAAATAGATGGGAAAAATACAAATAAATAGTTAGATGGAGGATATAATCATTTCTATAATTACATTAAATCACAATGGCTTAACACCCAAATTCAAAGGCAGAAGTTGTCAGAAGAAAATAAAAGCAAGACCCACTATCTGCCGCCTGCGAGAAATGCGATTTAACTGTAAACACACAATTAGGTTAAAAGTATGGAACATGACATATCATGCTAACACTGATCATAAGTAAGCTACAGTGGTTATGTTAATATCACACAAAGCGGTTTTCAGAGCAAAGGATATTAGCAGTGATAAAGAAGGTCAATTCATTATAGAAAGCAACCACTGTAGATGTTAATATACCTAAATAGCAGCGTCCAAAATAAGGGAAGAAAAAGACGGTAGAACTGCAGGGATAAATAGACAAACCTAGAATCGAGTGTCCACAAACGGATCCGCACATATATGTCAGTGAATTTTTGACAAAGTTGCAGAGGCAATTTTGTGGGAAAAGAATAGTTTTTTCAATAAATTATACTGGAACAATTGGATAACCATATATGCAAAAATGAACCCCGATCCCCACCTTGCACCATGGGCAAATACAAACTCTAAATGGATCATAGACTTACATATAAAACATAAAACTGTACAACTTCTAGAAGAAAAGGTAGGAGAAAATCCTTGTAGTGTTTGATTGGGCAAACTTTTTTGACATATAGCATCAAAAGCATGATCCATAGAAGAAAAAAGTCTGACAAATTAGATTTCGTTAAGATGAAGAACTGCTCTCTTTGAAAGACACTGTAAAGAGAATGAAAAGACAGTCACTGACAGGGAGAAAATATTTACAAATCACGTCTCAGCTAAGGAACTTATATCCAGAATATATAAAGAGGTTTCCAAGGCCCAGTTATAAGAAGACAAAGCCAAAAACAAAATGTGCAAAACATTTGAGCACACATTTCACTGAAGAATATATATGCATGGCAGATAAGCACATGAAAAAATGCTGAACATCATTAATCATCAAGGAAATGCAAATTCAAACCACAATGACTGTTATCATTTGGCTCTGTCCCCACCCAAATCTCATCTTGAATTGTAGCTCCCATAATTCCCATGTGTTGTGGGAGCCATCCAGTGGGAGATAATTGAATCATGGGGACACTTTCCCCCGTGCTCTTCTCATGGTAGTGAATAAGTCTCACGAGAGCTGATGGTTTTATAAGGGGAATCCTGTTTTGCTTTGGTTCTCATTCTCTCTTGTCTGTCACCATGTAAAACGTGCCTTTCTCCTTCTGCCGTGACTGTGAGGCCTCCCTAGGTACGTGGAACTGTGAGTCCATTAAACCTGTGTTTCTTTATAAATTACCCAGTCTCAGGTATGTCTTTGTCAGCAGTGTGAAAATGGACAAATACAATGACATATCACTATACATTGGTTAGAACATCTAAAAAAAAAAAAAACCAACTTGTGATACCAATGTTGGCAAGGACATAGAGCAACTGGAACTCTGATACCCTGCTGGAGGTAATGTGCAAGGATGCAACTCCTTTGGAAAATAGTCTGTCAGGTTCTCAAGGTAAAGATACACCTACAGTAGGATCCAGTTTCTATACTCCTAGAACTCAAGCCTATGTCCCCACAAAGGTTTATACACAAACGTTTGTAGCAGCTTTATTTGTAACAATGCCCTGATATCCATCAACAGGTGACCGGATAAACAAACTTTGGGACCTCTGTAAAGTGGAATACCATTCAACAATCAAAAGGAATAAATGATCAATATTCACAACAGCATGGATGAATCTCAAAGTAACTATACTGGGTGAAAGAAGCCAGACAAAAAAAAATTCATATATATACTTCTGTTTATATAACATTCTAGGAAATACGAAATAATCTATGGTGAAACAAAGCATATCAGCGGTTTCCTGAAGAGTGGGATTTGGGAAGGGGAGAGGCAAAAAAGAAGGACTAAGGAGGGACATGAGGAATTTATCTGGGTGATAGAAACGTTCATTATCTTGATTATGGTAAGATGCAATTACGTAAATCAGACTTATCAAATTATATGCTTTATATGTTGCTTATTGTATGTCACATTTTAAAAAAGAAAATAGAAATACAACTATTTCAAAGTTATCATT